AGAGTGGAACAGGGGCACTGAGGAAGGTGGTCCCCTTCAAGACACTATAGCCAGAACAAAGGTATCTGAAGACCTTCCATCAAGTGGGAGCTGCTGACTTAACTCTCAGCAGAGGTGTCACGGGTCACCCCTAAGCCATCAGGTGACTGAGTGTGTGGAGTTCTCAGTGCTCAAGCTACAGGCAGAGGACAGAAGGAGCTAACCCGACCAGGCTCAACAGGGCACTCTGCACCCCCTCCAAGATGGACCACAAGGACACCGCCCCTTCCCCAGGTCAGCAAAGAGGCTGGAGAGAGCAGGGGGCTGGGGGCAGCATGGAAGGTATGGACCTCTCCCAAACCACCACTGTCTCTCACTCTGCACATGGGCACACATGGGCATCCACCACACAGCTGGAGGGCCTGTCTGGGGTATCTTTCTTTCAACACTGGGCATTCACAGAAGGGCAGCAACAACTACCTACCCTGTCCACTGCCCACAAAACCCTTGGAATCAGGATGTGTCGGAAGTCTAGAGGGAACCCTGACAGGCAGGTTGGAGTCCTGCTCCCGCCATGCCGTGGCCTGAACCCTGCCTGCTGTTTTGCTGGTTGGACTTCACTGTTTCCATCACGTTACAGGATTAATACCTCATCTTCTCATGTGTCAGAGCAATAGCATAGCGGGTAGGGCATTTGCCTTGCACGTGGCTGACCTGGGTTTGATTCCTCTGCCCCTCTTGGAGAGCCTGGCAAGCTACTGAGAGTATTCTGCCTGCAGGGCAAAGCCTGGCGAGCTACCCGTGACGTATTCGATATGCCAAACACAGTCACAAGTGTCACAATGGAGAAGTTACTGGTGCCCACTCGAGCAAATCGATGAACAATGGGAGAACAGTGCAGGACAGTGCTACAGTGCTTCTCGTCTTTACAGTTGCATGCCTCTCATGCCCGGACCCAGGCATCTCACCTGTGAAATAGGAGTCCCCAGCAGTGAGAAAATCGTGAAGATGCATCCTACCCAGCTCCCAGGGTAGGAGCTATTTGGCTGTGGTCCTCAGGTATATGCAACAACCTGCAAGGACCTCACATCACACACAGCTCGCTGCCCCCTTTCTCTTGTTGGCTGAGGATAGGACACTATAGAGACACTATAGAAACATCAGGGAAAGAGCAAGGACGTTGGGGTGGGGAAGGGGGGTGGTGGAAGAGTAGAGACGGGGGTGGCTGCTGGTAGTGAGAAAGGAGTGTTGAGTATGAGGTGGTTTTGCCAGTGGCGATGAAGCAGGGGACTGTGGCACTAGATGATATTTTAAAGGGACTGGAGTGTACGGCAGACAGGGCACTTACCTACATGCTGCTCCATCCCTGGCACCACATAAGGTCCGCCTCCACCCCAAACAGCACCAGGAATGATTCCGGAATGCAGAACCAGGAGGAAGTAAGTTCTGGGTTGGGGCCCAAAACTAACTAACTAAATGCGGGTTTAAGGTCAAGAGTGAGAGCGGGCGAGCTGTCTGCTGGGTGAGTCCTGACTCTGCCCAGCCCCCCACCCCCCACCCCCCGGGAGGGCTCTGTGCAGCGCTGTCCGTGGTGTTGACGCCGTCGGCGGGCGGCGGCGCAGTCCGTGTGCTCCGCGCGCGCACAGTGCACGGGAACGCTCTGGGTCCTCGCGGGCAGCGAATGCGGGCGCTGTCCACGGTCCTGACGACGGGCGGCGTCTGGGCGGGCGCTGTCCGTGGTTCTCCCGGAGTCCCGCGGCGCGGAGCGGAGACTCTCCACAGTCGTCAGCAGATTCGCTCCCTTCCGTGCCACACTTCCTATGCCTCAGCTCAGCGTTCGTCCCACAGGGGCACGAAACGGCCGTTAGAGACACTGCATCGGCCGCATTCTCGGTGCTGCGCTGGAGTGTGGACTCGTTATAGCCGGGAGGTGACTGCTGCCCTGCCAGTGTCACCACGGTGCTGGGGGTAACGGGGATACCTGCAGGGGCCTGTTCTTCGCTTGGAGCAAATGAAATGATTATTTGCACCCAAGCACTGAGTCCCCAGAACATGGTTGCCTCCAGGCTGCAGGATCAAGCTCTCTAGCTGCAGGTGGGGCGAGACCTGACCCTGTCTTCTAAACATGTACGGGGCTCAGTCCAACCTACACACTGAATGGGTGGAAACAGTGGGAAAATATTTCCTTATAGAGATAATTAACGAGTTTGTGCCCGAGGTGCTGGGATGTTCCTCTGCCTACGTGGCCCTAAACCTCCCAAATTCTGATGCTGTAGAGAGGATATTAGGCATGGTCGCCCTCTGTGTTCTCTTACAGCTGTCACCCACTCCTGCCCCCAGTCCCATCAACTCCTCCCCATTGCTACTGTCTCCCTGAATTTAGACCCCACCAAGTCCACCCATTAGGCCCCTGGGCTGTGCTGGTGTGCATGGATGTGGGCGGAGTGGAGGAAGGGGCAGAGGCACCCCATTCCAGTCTGACTTCACCTGTCAGTGCCCACCTGGGGCCCAGCAGGTGAAGCTGGCAGCTTGGAGATAACCTGATATGGCAGATGGGCAAAGATTGCATAAATGAGGGTCTAATTGACAATCAATTGTGATTAGAGTGAAAGAATGTCTTTATAGGCTGGGGGAGGGAACGGCTGAGGCTCCACCAGACTGCAACTTGGGCTGCTCCTTCAAGGAGGGGGAGGAACTAGGAGAGGGCAGGATGACCTGCTCCCTGCACCTCATCCACCCGCACCCACCTCCCAGGGAGGGTGGCTTGGGAACTCCTGCCCACTGCAGTCCCTGTACCCCAGGCCAGCTGTGCTCAGCTACGCTCACAGTGGAAGTTTGCTAGATGGAACAGAAGCAAGCAAAGAACCGAGACTGAGCATCTTGGAGCCCCCAAACTCCAGGACAGCACAAATTCTGTGGGCTAAGTGGCACTTAGCCTGAAACTAGCCCCCAACTCAGCGCAGAAGTGTGTGCCATGGTGCATGCGTGTACTGTGCGTGTGTGTACATGTGTTGCCATGATGTGTGTATACATTGGATGTGTGTCTGTATATTTGGGGGAAGGAACTATGCGATTGCATGTTGTGATATATTTATTTCATTATGCTTATTTCACGCCGTATTTAATACACTGTATTCTATTTACCATGTTTTCGTGATAATCATCACGCATTATACTACATCCATATTATACAAAATGTCATTGGATGTGCTTGCGTTTGTGTTAAATGCAAGTTGTTCCAAGAAGGCTCCGATTTATTTTCCTCCCCTGCAGATGACTGTGGCGGGCACACTGGGGGGGGGGGAGGGGCAGCCGTGCACCCTGCGTTTGCACTGCCCTGCGCCCACTGGCAGGTACAGTCTGTGACCTGCAGGGTCCCTATGTTTTGTGTCTCCAAGACCCCTGTACCCCAGGCTGGGCGGAGATGGCCCTCAGAACCTTACCCCTCTGCGGGCAGCAGCTGTGCCTTGCAGCCCCTCCCCAAGGAAAGCGCTGAAGGAGGTTCAGAGACCCCTGGGAGCTTCAGAGCGTGTGTCCACCGGCGTGCCGGGTGCGCATGAATGGATGAATGCGTCTGTGTGATGCTGGTGAATGGGTGTGCGTCTGCGTGTGAATGAGTGTGCGCATCTATATTCAAACTTGGCGGGGGGGGGGGGGGGAGGGGAGCCCAGCGCCCCAGTCTCCCCTGAAAGGTGGGGGCGGGAAGGAGGTAATTACCTCCCTGTGATGAGAGATTATCCACCCTCCTTCCCCCAGAGGTGATTTATAATTTAAAGATAAAGAATAATCAAGTCCTGGCGAGGAAGGACACAGTGTTGTGGGTCTGATTAGAATCTCGGACGGACCGGCTCGCGGGGGAGGAACAGGCTGGGGGAGGGGAGGCCTTGCCTCCCGCCCAGACCCAGCCTCCCCGAGGCTCAGCATGTCCGAGCGTGGCTCAAATTACAGCCGATCGGTCCCCCATTATTTCTCCCAACTTTTAATTTCTGCTTCCAAAGGATCATTGCCCGCGGTAATTGCAAAGGACCCGTCCTTGTGCGCGAGCAGGCTCCGGGGACCGCAGTGTGATAGAACGCGCGCACCCGCCCGTGCACGCGCGCGCGCTCCCGCCGCGGCTCCCACCTGGGACCCCGGGCGGGTCCGATCCCGGGCGAGTGCAGGGGGAGGGGTTCGCGCCCGGGCCCCGCGAGCCGCCGCGGTCCCGATCAGCGCGGCAAAAAACCGCGGCTGCAGAAAAACGGGCAGAAAATAAATAAATAAATAAATAAAAGACCGGGCCGAAGGGCGGCCCCAGTCCCGGGGCGTGGGGAGGGGGCGCTGACCGTGCTGTCGCCCCTCGCTGGGAGGGCGCTGGCTTTGCGTCCGCGGGTGGGGGGGGCTAGCGCGGCGGCGCGGCTCCTCCCGACCCCACCTCTCCGGAGCGGGCCGGCCCCGCCCCGCGGGACCCCCGCCGGGCCCTAATTTGACGACGCGGAGAGGCGGGCCAGAGACCGCGCCGGGAGGCCCCGCGACGCCAGAGGAGACCCCTCGCGGCCAGGGACCGGACGGCGCAGGACCCCGAACCACGCCGGAGGGACTCGCCGGCCCGTCCGCGGAGGGCGCGGGGCGTCGGGCGCGCGGGACTCAGTGGGTCCGCGCGGGGATGCCGGAGCCTTCGCACGCGCCCAGAGCTCGCCCGCGCGCCCGGAGCGTCGCGGCCCCCGGGCCCAGCGGCCCCGCGGAGGTTTGAAGCCGGGGCCGGGCGCCCCGGGGCTCGGTCGGCGCGTCCCGGGCCCGCCTCCTCCGCCCGGGGCCCTTCGCAGCCAATTAGGCGCGCGCGCTAACGAGCGCACGGGGCCCGCGGCCGCCGGCGGGCGCACGTGTGAGCGGCGGGTGGGCGCGTGGGCGCCGCGCGGGGCCGCCATAAATGCGCGGAACGGGCGCCTGAGGCGCGGCGGAGGCAGCTCCTGGCAGCGGCGACCGAGCGCGGCGCCGGGGATGGCAGCGCAGTAGCCGGCGGGGCCGGAGCGGCCGAGGCCGGCATGAGCGCCAGCGGCCCGGCGGCTCCCGGGGACGGCCCCGCGCTCCCGCCGCCGCCGCCCGGGCCCGGCCCGGGACCCGCAGCGCCCGCGCCCGCCGCCGCCGCCGCCCGGGACGCCATGGACGGGCGCGCCGAGCCGCCCGCCTTCCCGCGGCCCGGAGCCCCTCCGCTCGCGGCCAGCGACACGGTGCCCGCGGCGCCCGAGGGGGCTGGCGCGGCCCGCCCCGCCCCGCCGCCGCGCCCCACCTCCTTCTCGGTGCTGGACATCCTGGACCCCAACAAGTTCAACAGCAGGAGACGCCGCTGCGTGCTGCTGGGCCCCGTGGCGCCCGCCGCGTGCGCCCCGTGCGCCCCGGGTCCGTGCGCCCCGGCCCCCGCCGCCCCGGGACACCCGCCGCGCGCGGAGGAGCTGGAGCGCCGCACGCTTGCCGCCGCGGGAGCCGCCGCCGGAGCCGAGCCGCCCCGTGAGTAGGACGCGGCCGGCGCCCGGCCGGGGGTGCGGGGCCCGGCCGCACGCGAGCGTGTTCGCTGCCCGGACCTCGCGGCGAGCCTGGCCGGCCGGGCGCGGAGGCTCGATGCAAAGTTCGCTGCGCGCGGGGCCCGGCGTGCCTGTGGTCTCCGTCCGAGCCGGGCTGCGGGGCCGCCCGACCCGCGCTGGCGGGAACGGCTCCGCCGGGCGGGCCCAGGCTCCCGGGCTCTCGGTGGGGCCGGGCGCGGGCCGGTGGGTGCCGGGGACCCCGGGGAAGCGCGCCGCCCGCACACCGACCTCGCGACCCCCGCCGAGGCCGCCAGGACTTCCTCCCCCCTTTTTTCTTTTCTTCTCTCTTCATTTTTTTTCCTTCTCCTTTGGACAAATCAGACTAATTGTGACAAAGCGCTGGTTATCTCTGGAAAAACAATTAAATCCCTTCGATTACAGTTAAGGGGAAATGTGCTTAGCGGCGAAAGCGGCCGGTAATGGGGCGGCCCGAGCCCCCTGCCCGGTCGATATCCCATTACGGCAGCATGCATATCTCTTTCAAGCACCTTGCAAACTCCCCCCGAACATCTAAATTATAGGGTCAAAATTCGGATAATTACTCGATTAAAACCTATTACACTTATTAGGGGCCGCTATTGATCGAGAATTGCATTCGACCTGCTCCTGATTGCTTTTGGTGCCCCTCCTTGGCTTCCTCCCTCAACTTCCCAGCCCCATGCTGCAGTAACCGGGAGTGCGGTGGGCTGAGCTCAGGCCCTGGGTGGGGTCCCGTTGAGGGCAAGGGTGGCGTGGGAGAGCCTGCGCAAGAAACCTGCAGGCCTGGAGATGGGGAGTCTTTCCCAGGTGATAGGAGTGAGACTCAAAGATGTGGGTGTTCACAGGACTAGGTCAGGCTCCCTCCCCTCTGCCCCCAGGACAAGTGCCCCCAACCCCCTGAAGGGCAGCCAGAGCTCTTTGGAATTGGATGCGAACTTGAAGCTTCTGCAGCCTCCACTGGTGCTTGGAAATGGTCTGGACTGGGTTTCTGGTTTCGTTTGCTCCCGAGTGAGTTCTCGGGACTCTCCCCACCAGGCTGCCTGCCGACCTGACCTGCATAGCTCACAGGACACCTGTGGGGTCTGCCCTATGGCCCCTGCTGCACTGACACTTTCCTTCACTTTTTGTTTGTTTGGGGGCCATAGCTGGTGCTCAGAGCTTACTCCTGGCTCTATGCTTGGGGATCACTCCAGGTGATGCTCAGGAGACTGTATGCGGTGTCAGGGATCAAACCCTGGTGTGTCTGAGCAAGGCATGCACAATACCTGCTGCACTATCGCTTTGGTCCCTCCACATTTTTGGAACTCAAAATGAAACAGTATGGCAACGTCTGCTGTGCCATGCCCAGTGCCCGGCGGGATGCCCACCGTTGTCCACCCACAGCACCCTACCCTATCAACTCCGGGGGTCGAGTCCTGGGGCTGGAGCTGGAGTTGGGTAGGACCCGGGTTTGATTCTCAGATACTTCCTGAAGCCTGGTCCCCAGCGCACCCCAGGAAACGGGCCTCCGTGGTTAGTAAAAGCCAAGCAAGGGGACTGCCCATGCCCTTCTGTGTTGGGAGGGAATACTGGGTGGAAGAAATTAAATGCCCGTTAGCCAGTTTGTACATTGCACAAAACGAGTTTAATTAAGTTTGTGTCTACCCCCAAAATCCATAAGTAACATCCGCTGCGCTGCGAGCCCAGGGGCTGGCCAGGTTGGGCAAAGGACCTGCTTGGAGCCGCTGCAGGGCAGCGGTGGGGATGGAGCGTGGGCGCCGGGAGTCGGGAGTCGGCGGGCAAGGAAGCCCATGAGCAGGAGATGAGAGAACGAATGCGGGGAAAGGGACTGGGTGACCTGGTGTAGGGATCAGGGGAGGGCACGAGGGCGCGGGGTTGACGGCCAGGGCTTCACTGTCCTGTCCTCCCGCCTGCCCGCAGGCGCTGGCGACCCCTACAAGGTGGACGAGGCGGACGCCAACGGCTACAGCAGCGGCGGCGGCCGCAGCCCCAGCGCAGACAGCGGGGACGAGGCGCCCGACGAGGAGGAGGATGACGAGGATGCGGCACCCAGCGCGGAGGCGGCACGAGGGCCGGAGGAGGCGCGCGGCTGTGGTGGCAGCGGCGGGGCCCGCGGGTCGGGCTGTCCGGGCGCAGCCGAGACCGAGGCGACCCCGGGCGCCGTCGACGACTCTGGGAACCCCGGGCCCCGCGGGAACTCGTCGGGGGCCGCCGGCCTGCCGGGCCCTTCGGCGGCTGGGGGCGGGGGGCCGGCCCCGCAGAGCACAGCCAAGCCCAAGCGCAAACGCACGGGTTCCGACTCCAAATCTGGAAAGCCGCGGCGAGCGCGCACCGCCTTCACCTACGAGCAGCTCGTGGCGCTGGAGAACAAGTTCAAGGCGACACGCTACCTCTCGGTCTGCGAGCGCCTCAACCTGGCCCTGTCGCTCAGCCTCACCGAGACGCAGGTGAAGATCTGGTTCCAGAACCGCCGCACCAAGTGGAAGAAGCAGAACCCGGGTGCCGACACGAGCGCGCCTACCGGCGGCGGCGGGGGCGCGGGGCCCGGCGCGGGCCCCGGCGCAGGGCTGCCTGGGGGACTCAGTCCACTCAGCCCGTCGCCGCCCATGGGCGCGCCGCTCACCATGCACGGACCGGCCGGGTACCCCGCGCACGGTCCCGGGGGCCTGGTGTGCGCCGCGCAGCTGCCCTTCCTGTCCAGCCCGGCCGTGCTGTCGCCCTTCGTGCTGGGCTCGCAGACCTACGGCACTCCCGCCTTCTATGCACCGCACCTCTAGGCTCCCTTCTCAGACTGTCCCTAGAGCCCGTTGGGACTCGCTGGGACTGACGGACAGACGCACTTTGCTGAACTGGACTGGATCAATAAACCACAGCAGGCCACTCCCGCGTCTCACTCCCCGTCGCGTTTCGGACCCAGTGGGGTCCAGGGCCTCCTTCCCGGCCTAGGCTCTAACTCCTCCTGGCTGATCTGCCCTAACCGCTTCACCCGCTTGGCTCCACCCAAGCTCAGTTCAGGCAGGGGCTGGGGGACCAGGAGCACAGGTACCAAGCCTCCATGCATGGAACACTCAAGTCCTGCCCCATACCTGGCTTGGGCGAGCTGGCACTGCGCTGCCACCTCCTGGCCTGCACATCTCACCTCCGGCAGAAGCTGTGAGGGCACTCCAGCCAGGCTTCAGGGGAACTGACTCGGGGCAGAGGGACACAGGATGGTTCTTCAGTCTCTTGCTGCTCCGGCCCCCGAGTGCTGAGTGCTGCACTGGGCAGGCTCTGCATTGCTCTGGGCAAAGGCCCCCAGCTGGGTGTCACACACACCCCCCCCCCCCCCGTTCTCCAGGAAATCTGCCGATTTCCCCAAGTCAGCACAGAACACCCCCTGCACAGGGCCTGGATCCAGACACATGACAGAATGGGGGGGGGGGGGGTGAGAGCGGCCACCTGGGTCTCAGGGCTGATCCAGGGGCTCCAGAAGGTTCCAGAAGTCTGTGCTTTTCAGCTCAGATTATGAGTAAAACTGCATGGGGGTTGGAGTGAGACAGTGGGAAGTCACAGCCTATACTTCTGAGCGCTTCGGGGAGTGGACAGGTACTGGTGGCCACCAGGACTGGATGGAGGGGCCTGTGCCCCAGGACTCCCTCCTCCCTCAACCCGAATGCAGCTGGAACTTGGGGCCAGTCTCAGGCTCCAGCTCGGAAGGGAAGGCCGGGAGAGAAGCCCCAGGAGCCTGGATATTGTCCACTCCCATCTGGTTCTGGGGCCTTAGCCAGGGGCAGGGCCGGGAGGAAGGATCAGGGAGCCACACCCCTGATAAGTAGGCTTCCTCCTAGCCAGGTCGGGGAGCTGCCTTTTCCCGAGGCTGTGGGCAAAGCAGAATGCAGGAAAGAGAGCTGTGACATCCCATACAGAAGCTATTCATCCAGCTGGAGCTCAGTTGTCCACAGTGGCACCCGCTCCTGCTGCCTGGGAGGCTGGAGGCTCTGGGCTTGCAGGGGTGCCCCAGCAAGGCTGCCTCCCTGAGGGGGCGGGTCCCTTCCTGCTTGCAACTAAGACAGCCTTCCTGCCAATCCCACTCCCCAATCCTACACACCCTCCATCCTGCTACACCTGTGAGATTTGTGGGGCCCTGCCTGGGGGCTGTGTCCAGCCCAGGGTATTCCTTGAAGGCAGAAGTAAGCGCAGTCCCCACCATGGTCCTGCTTTGGTGCTCTGGGGGCTCTCGTACCAGCGCCATCTGGGATGAGCTGCTCAAGCTTCATGGCTTGGCTTCCACCACCTCTGTTCAGGCACTGTCCAAGAGCCACCAGTGGGAAGGACTCTGGCGAGGTGCAAGGCGCGGCCCTGCTGGCGCTGGTTGTGGTCTCCTGCCTCCTTCCTTCCGTCTTGTGGGACCCCAACCAGAGACTGGCTTTGAGCATGAATGAGAAAAGCCCAATGAAAAGAAGCTGAAAAGATACTGCATCCTTTGAGGGGATGGTATGAGGGGATGGTGACATCGGTGGCCTTGGGAAGCTGATACCACCAGAGATCTTGTGGACTCAGTGACATCCAGCTCTCTGTGCTGGCCATGGACGCTGTAGGGGACGAGGCTGCAGTCATCATACCCCCATTCTAGGCAACAAACAGGAGGAAGGGAAGAGGACACCCCTTTTCCCTTTTAAGTTTTCCCAGAACACAGCTTGACGTAGTGGCTCGCTTTTCAGTGGGAGTTTGATCACATGACCATCTCCACCAAGTTCTGAGCTAGTAGGGGGCATGGGTGTGGGGTCATGGCCGGCACATCACCCTCGCAGTGTCTTAGAAGATTCACCTATGACCCTTCCACCTGCCTACCTACCCAGCTGGAAATCATCAGTTTGGGGGCTAGGGAGACTGCTTTGCATGTGGGAGCTGGTTCCTTCCTGCCTGTTCCTTTTCCCCCAGGCTCCCCAGCACTGATGCAGCAGGACCACCCCAGGGGCACACCCCAGGGCCTATCCTTAGTTCCTTGCTGTTCTCATATCTTCTGCTCCCCCTCTCAGGGCTATAACCCAGAGAGCCCCTATACCCTGCTCTGTAGCATATGTGCCAAGCAGCCCTGCCCTCTGGGTTCTACCCCTTCCCTTTAGGTACCATTCCTGGGGGTGGGGACACCAATCCAGGCATCCACAGAAGCAGGAACCGAGAGGCCCCTTCTGAGCACCCTTCACTCTGGGGGCAGCAAAGATCTCCTGGCCTTGTCCTGGTGCCCCAGCCCCAGCCCCTCAGCCAGACCCCACTCCCTCTGCCTAGAGGCCCTTTACACAGGGCTCTGCAGCACAGGTGGGAAGTCCCCATCCTGGGTCACTGGAGGCTGCCAGGACATGTCACAGCCAGAGGGACCTGGGGCAGGAGGGAGAGAGTGGCAGGCATCCAGAGGTCCTTCTCAGAGGCCCGCCTGAGAGGTGGGGACTGTGCAGTCACTCCCTGGTCCAGGGCTGTCTCAGCCATGCCATGGCCCCCTGTGAAGGGCTCTTTGGGGCCATAGTGTGCAGAGAACCAGGGGCTCTGGGCCCTGGTCTCCCAGGATGACACAGCAGTTCCTGCTTTGGGCCAGCCTAGCACTGCCACAGGACTCAGCACGGTGCCAGGAGCAAAGAAGATGGAGCAGGACAAGCTGAGCTTGGTGTCACTTCCTACTGACAGAAGCATCTAGAAGCCATGGCTGTTTGGAATGTTCTTTCTGCACACTTAGCTTGGATCCAGGTGCTTGTTTTGGAACACGCCTGCCTGGCTCCATCTCCTGGGCCATCACCCCACACTGACAAGAGCCCCCACAGGGAGCCCAGTCCTCACTGCCACCCCACCCCCGCTCTCTTGTTCTCTTCCCACTGTGCCATCGCTGCCCTCCCTGAGGCGGCCTTCCTGCCAATCCCACTCCCCAGGAAGTCCCCCAGGTCCCAGATCCCCTGTCTTTGCCACCAGCCAGGAACACAGTCATCTTCAGGTTTGTCTTTAATTACCACAGAGAGACTCAGGAGAAAAAAAATCGTACAAAATCACTAGGAAGATTCCTGAGTCCAATTACAAAAGCACTCCAAGGGTGGAGAGTACAGGCCAGAGGCAGAGAAATCATGCCTGGCAGCAGATGTGGTCCTCCATGTCATCCCAAAAAGGGATCCTGAGGGGCTGGAGCCATAGCACCGCGAGTAGGGTGTTTGCCTTGCACGCGGCTGACCTGGGTTAGATTCCCAGCATCCCATATGGTTCCCTGAGCAACACCAGAAGTATTCCTTAGTGAAGAGCCAGGAGTAACCCCTGTGCATCGCTGGGTGTGACCCCCAAAAAACCAAAGATCTCCATGATTCTCCAGCAGAGAGGAATAGCTGCCACCTGAGAACAGAGGCCAGCAAAGCTTAGCTGAGTTGCGGCTGGCCTGCGCAGGTCGATCCCCCAGCTTCTGAACCCGTCTGACATCAGGACCAGTGAAAAGTGCACCAGGGACCAAGGTGAACATGCTCCCCACAAAAGGACTAGAAGTGAAGAGAGAAGAGTATCTCACACAGGGCCACTGCCAGCAGCACTTGGCATCAGGGAGCTAACTCAGACTTCTCAGCTCAGCCACTCCTGAGAACTCGTGAAACATTAAATGACATGAAAAATCTCCACAGCAAGCAAAATCAGATGGGCAGTGAGGAATCGTGCACATTTTCTGCACAGAAAGCTACACTTGACGAGAGACCAGACATGGACAGAAAAGCAGGCCAAGCTAGCCAAGGCTCCCGGGGATGTGGTGCAGCCAGCATGCGCACACAGGAGACATGCTGGCCATCTGCGAGAAGGCCCGCTGACAGGAAAGAAAGCAAGATCCCTGGCACAGGGCTCCACACCAGGGAAGTCAAGGGGGGTGGGTGTGGGTGGGGACATACACTCAACCCAGCTGTCAGAGCTTCACCATAGCTCCCAGACACACCCTGATAAACTCGTACAAGGAGTTCTCAGGTCCCTGTTGGTGTGGCCAGGAAAGGCGGCCAGAGTGTTGAAGGGTGGACTGTTAGGACCTCGACCGTGAATGCTGTATACCACAGGACACCACATGGACAGAGTGGAGGGTTCCCAGCAGCACAGGAGCAAAGCACACATGCACTGAACAACCGAGCCCCCAAATCCACAAAACAAAGATGGAGGGAGAAGAGGACAGGGACAGTGGGCAGTTTCAATTTCCCACTTTTGATCGCTAATAGAACTTCCTGGTGGCCAACGAGGAGAGGGAAAATGACAGCAGGAGGCCCCACGGGAGGGCACAGACAGGCAGAGCAGCACGCATCTCCATACACACAGGACTTTCTCCAGGACAGAACACACATGTGGAAAGAAGTCTCCGGTTGTAAAGGGCGGAAATCACAAGGAATGTGTTCTCTGGCCGCAGGGGATAGAACAAGGAATCAGGGGCTGGAGCAATAGCATAGTGGGTAGGGCATTTGCCTTGCACATGGCCGACCCGGGTTCGATTCCCAGCATCCCATATGGTCCCCCAAGCACTGCCAGGAATAATTCCTGAGTGAAGAGCCAGGAGTAACCCCTGTGCATTGCTGGGTGTGACCCAAAAAGCAAAAAAAAAAAAATCATAGTGAAAGGATTCATGAAAATTCACAAGAATGTGGTAATCAATCAAATAAATCCCTAACTACCCAATGAACCAGCAAAAAAATCACATGAAAAATTAGAAAATACTTTGGAAATCAATAGGAATGAAATTACATGTTCATCTTAAGGGAGCAATGTAAAGCAGTCCTCCAGTGAAAATGTAGCTGCAAACACC